CTACCGGTCTCCAAATTCTGTGTTCTTCTATTTTAGTGACACTTACTCCTCCTTTATGCCACATGTGAAAGTAAAATGTAACCTCTAATCCATGCTGCTGTTGATTACAATGTTAAAATAGAATTTTGAAGTCTTTCCTCCAAACCATGTTTTTGACATTTCTTCTTCGTAAGTCTGGGAACTCCGGTTGTAAGAACTAGCTTTACACTGCTGCTGCTTCCATCAACATCATCAGAGGTCTTCCTCATTTGAAAGGAACGTAATAAAAAAAATTTGAACGTAATGCAGTGCATTGGGACAGCAAGAGGCTCGATTTGAAGGAAGTCTGAACTGTCAGCTTGTCTAAACCAGACAGCTTCTGCCAGCTTTTGAGTATGTCAGGTTAGGTATTCTGGGGGGAGCTACATGTTCTCGTGCAAACATAACCAATGAGATGCTTCTGTTCGCTTGTTTTTAAGTCTTAAGCGAAGAATAGTTTTGCACAACTAAAGTGTTCATAAATACTTTTCATTTAATTAATTAGGAGCTATAATATGAAATACACCCAAAAGAAAACTAGGGTGTATTTGATAAATTGTTTGGCTTTTTTTTGTCTGCACTGAATTTAACTATTGCTTAATATTTCCTGGCTGTTTTTTATCAGAAGAAAAATGCAACACAGGTAAAATTAAAAGGAGATTGGATTTCATCCAGGAAGAATGTGTCCTTGTCAGGGACTATCACAGATTGAGTTCTGTCAGACTTTTCAGCAAATTACATTGACGTTTTGGGGTGGTAGAATTCACCTCTTTTGCACTCAATATCTGGGACTGGTGATTAAGAGCACATGCGAACAAACTCACAGCTGTATTTATAAGCATACCTTATACAGTATGTCTCTGTGCGATGGCTAGGTTGAAATGTTAATCTTTTTTGGAAATATTTTATATGTATGATGATTAGACTACTACTTCTGTTAAACATCTTTGCAAATGCCTTTTAAATATTTTTCTTGCCCAGTGCATGAATTCTTATAAATTGGGAGTTGTCAGCAGGCTATCTGGGAACACAATGGAAAGGCACAGGCATGAAGCACGCAAGGTCTGCTTTGAATGAACTAAAGCACTGTCCATGTTTGATCAATCCATCTTGTTTTATTCTTTTAAACCAGTTATTGAAGTGCTGAGCCTTTACTTTCCTACAGAAGTAATAGATTTATATTATTAACTACACGGTTAGCAGCTAACTTCAGGGCTTTAATTTCTAAGTTCAAATCAAGATATTGATTCAAAGTGAATATATAAATATTTCTGAAGAGAATCTCTCAGTGAAAGGAGGATATGTTGGATATTTTTTTTCTTAACATTTTTAAGAGGCAGTAGTATATTGAGGTTTTTTTGCTTTAAGCTAGTTTTTTCCGGTTCTGAAGACTTGCTCTGTATTTTAAAAACTACATTGTTGTCCCACCAACTACTCTTTTATTCTGGGTTTGGTGTGGTGGGTTTTTTTTGTTTGGGGTTTCTTGTTTTGGGGGTTTTTTGTTGTTGTTTTAGGTTTGTTTTTCTGGGGTTTGTTTGTGGTTTGGTTTTTGTTGGGGGTTGGTTTTTTTTTTTGAGACCTCTCTGGAACGTATAGCACATCTTCTTTTTAATGTGGTTTGATACACAAATAAATGCAGGAAACCTTTTGTGCTTCTATTTGTTTCTAAATATGCATTGTGGTTATATTTGTGTATAATGCAAATTTGTGTAATAATGCTTAAACTTATAGTACATGTTTTATATGTGAAGAAAAAGCTGGTATGTCCTTGGCTCATGTAACAGATATAGTAGGCAAAATAGGGATCAGCGGCTGAGAGACTTATCTGCTGTGTTTTTACACAACCTCTTCTGCTGAGGTTTTAAGGCTTGGTGCTCTGGATTTTAATTAATTTTATTTAAAATTAAAAAATAACTTGTAATTATTTTCTTTAATTTTTCATGGCTGTGGAATTTTGAATCAGTTCAAGCTGTATGATTCATGCTTGGCAAAAGGGAAGAGGCTTGGCCCACCAGAGCATGAAAGTCTGCTTTTCCTTTCCCAAAGCCAAGATCTACTTGGGGTATTATATTGCTTGCTACAGGGTAGACTTTAATCATAGTTCAAACCAATTTGGGGACAATGGCATAAGAAGCCCTGTGCTAACTAGTCCATCATACAATTTTGACCAAATCTGAACTTGTTCCAGTCTTGCCATGGATGCTGAAGTAGCAGCTTTGCCCTTTCTGAATGTGTACAAGTCATAGAGGCCGAAAGCCCTTGGCCACAATAAGAATCTCTTAAGAGTCAGCAGATTGTTTGCCAAGTATTTGCCATTGTCTAGCTATCATATAAGAAGTATATTTTGTGATTCTTAGGACAGGACCTTCAGACGAGGTTATCATTCTTGCTGTGATAGGAAGAATCCCCAAAAGTGATGGCCTGTAAAGGCCTTCACTTACCCTATTTTTCTGCATAGCTCCTAGGTGCATGCTGCAGTGACCAGGAATCCCAATCCTCTGACCGCATCTGGCAGCACTTGGAATTCCTTTTTGCACATGAATTCCAGCCACCATTTAAAATCAAAGTTTTCAGGCTAATGGAGCCACAGGTTGTTGGGTGTTTGGTTTTTTTTTTTTCCTGCTGCTTCCACCCTGACAGATCAGTTCACTCTTAAAGAACAAGGTGTATTCTTCTTCCCGCCCCCCATGTTGTTGTTGTTGTTGTTGTTGTGTGCTTTTGTGTTCTGTTGTTTTGTTCTTACATAAAGATTATGTGAAAGGTCTTGGAGATGTGCATGTTCCCTCACTTCCATATTGTGACATTATTTGTTCTTAAAAGTCAAAGTAAAGTCAGCTAGCTTTCTACATGTTCACATGGGCCTTAAGAGTCATCTGATGTCTGGGAATTTTTCTGAAAATGAGGACCTAACTCTTCAGTAATATCTTCCTCTCTCACAGAAAAAGATGAACAGATAAAGTCTTTCCTTCCACAGTGTTTCTAAATGGTGATATATATATAAAATTTTTTATTGCTTAAAAATGGTAAACTGAACGCTAGCTTTCTACATGTTCACATGGGCCTTAAGAGTCATCTGATGTCTGGGAATTTTTCTGAAAATGAGGACCTAACTCTTCAGTAATATCTTCCTCTCTCACAGAAAAAGATGAACAGATAAAGTCTTTCCTTCCACAGTGTTTCTAAATGGTGATATATATATAAAATTTTTTATTGCTTAAAAATGGTAAACTGAACTTGTACTTCCTACATTTATTCAATCCAGTAGGCCACAGGCCAGCCATACCTTCTTTGTAATACTGAAGTAAGTAGGCACTGTAAGTATTCAGCGGCTCAAGTAGTCAAAATGCATCTTTAGGAGTGTAACTTTAATTTACAAAAAATGGATACTGTGTGTATTAGAGCAGAAAAATGTGCGGGGTTGATGTATCATGAGGCTAACAATTTGAATTTATGTTTGAACAATGACGTGTAAGGTCTGTATCTTGGTTTTGTACTCAGAATTGCATATTGTGCATAATTAGAACATGTGCTTTGACATGTTATGTGTGTACACCTGTATGCAATTAATATAAAATTTTAAAATGCCATACAGTGAATTTAACCCAAGTAACTGCAAAATTTGAGAAAGTTGGTAAGAGTGAAAATACTCCATAAACTTTTCAACTTCTGCGTTCTCAATTTTAAGCTTATGCATCTTTTTTGCAGGCAAATAATTTTCACTAAGTATGTGTTCATAATAAATCTGTTCCAAGTATGCTAAACCATGAACATGAATAATGTATATTTTGATGTTTCATAGCATTAAAACAATGTAGTCTGGTGTTTTGAGTGATATTTATGAACAGGTTTTTGGCTTATTTGGTATGTCAATGCCATAAGACAACAGTATATCTAAAAGCCATGCTAAAACTTCTGGTGGGACACAATATTTTTGGATACAGAACTATAACTGTATAGTTACTGTGTTTTGGTAAGAAAACATCTATATCTAATGCTATATTGATATTAGGAGTGCTTAGTGGAAAGTGGACTCAATTATATTGAAGCTATTTTAGGGATGTTGGTAATCCTTCAGAGTAGCAGATTATGTAATAAGTTAGGCATTTGATAAGCCTTTCATACATACCACATGGATAATTTTTCGAAGATTCATGTTTTTTTGAGAGCCTCTATGCAGGAATTTCCACCAGAATTAGAGAACATTTTAGCAAAGTTGATGTAATGTAAAACCTCGGGGGGGGGGGGGGGGAAGGGAAAAAAAATTCCTCCCTCACCTCCAAACTGTAAGAAAGATAATTTATCAAGACAACAACAATGGCATGATGCCTGTGACAGACTTCTTCTGTTGTTGTTTTTGTTAGCAGAAATAAGTGTACTACATTTCTGGCTCCATAGGGTCTGTTACATCTCTGTATATACAGTTAAATGTTTCTAGGGCAGTTGTGTAAACCAGGATGACCTACACCAAAAACCTCAGACCCACCAAAGCAGAGTGGCTGCATCCCAGCTGCCGACTGCTGCAGGTACCTGGCCGGTGCCATGTGCCTGAGCTGTGGGAATTGCTTGGAGGACTGCTGGAGAGCCAGCCCACCAGCATACCAAACAGGACTGTTCTAGCAATTTTTTTTCAGCATAGATGATTGAATGACATGCCCAGGAATGTTCTCAGAGTTATTAAATTTGCTAGTACAAATATGGCCAGTATTTCCCTCTTCTACTGAGCCACATTGATTTTTAAATGTTTTTATTAATAGAAATTTATCATAGAGTTTCTGAAATAAAACTTGTACCATTCTGTAGTTGGTATCTGCTTTTAACTATTGTCTTTCCACTAAACTTTAAGTAAATAATTATTCTTAGTTAAGCCATAGGTGCATATACATGGGGCATGCGTATGTATGTATACATGAGCTCTGTGTATATGCGTACGCATAATACATATTTTTCTTAGTTTTCAAACAATTTTATTCTTTTTTTAGTGGGATGCCATAACTGAAATGGATGAACATAATCGTCCCATTCATACTTACCAGGTATGTAATGTGATGGAACCAAACCAAAACAACTGGCTTCGAACAAACTGGATCTCCCGTGATGCTGCACAGAAAATTTATGTGGAAATGAAGTTTACCCTGAGGGACTGCAACAGTATTCCATGGGTACTGGGAACCTGCAAGGAAACTTTCAATCTCTACTACATGGAGTCAGATGAGTCTCATGGAGTAAAATTCAAGCCAAACCAGTACACTAAAATTGATACTATTGCAGCTGATGAGAGCTTTACCCAGATGGACTTGGGTGACCGCATTCTTAAACTCAACACAGAAGTTCGTGAGGTTGGGCCAATAAACAAGAAAGGATTTTATCTTGCTTTTCAGGACATTGGAGCATGCATTGCTTTGGTCTCAGTCCGTGTTTATTACAAAAAGTGCCCTTTCACAGTCCGTAATTTGGCTATGTTTCCTGATACTATTCCAAGGGTTGATTCTTCCTCTTTGGTGGAAGTACGGGGCTCCTGTGTGAAGAGCGCTGAGGAACGTGATACTCCAAAATTGTATTGTGGGGCAGATGGGGACTGGCTTGTGCCTCTTGGACGATGCATCTGCAGCGTAGGATATGAAGAAGTGGATGGCTCCTGCCATGGTAAGAAAACATTGGTTTTCCTGATACTATTCCAAGGGTTGATTCTTCCTCTTTGGTGGAAGTACGGGGCTCCTGTGTGAAGAGCGCTGAGGAACGTGATACTCCAAAATTGTATTGTGGGGCAGATGGGGACTGGCTTGTGCCTCTTGGACGATGCATCTGCAGCGTAGGATATGAAGAAGTGGATGGCTCCTGCCATGGTAAGAAAACATTGGTTGATATTTTATTTATTTATTTTTTTTTTATTAAAAAAAGTCTTAAAGATGTTATAACAGCAAATAATAGCTCATTGTATATTGGAAATATTATTTTATTTATTTATTTATTTATTTATTTATTTATTAAAAAAAGTCTTAAAGATGTTATATGCACAGCAAATAGCTCATTGTATATTGGAAATATTGCATCACATTTTCAAGGAATGCCTCTTGTCCAGAAATAAGCAAGGTTATTTGAAGTCATGATATTGTGGATTTCTAAGACAACATTTAGTTACTAAAGATGACCTTCACTTTGTCTAACTGCAGGTGCCCACAGTGTACATGTGTATAGATCAGCTAGTCACCTTGACTCCTTCTGTAGTTACTGTAGATAAGTGCATGCTTTGGAGCAGGATTCCTCTACCATTTTTAGATAGCTATCACAGGATGAAATGAGCAGTGACTGAAAAAACATCTCTTTTTTTCCTCCATATGCCTAAAAAGGGAATCTAGGCAATTAACTCAGACTCGGATCTTTCTTGTAAGCTCATAAAGACAGAGTAGACGAAGTCACCTGAAGAGATAACGTCATTATCCGTGCTTCTGTAAAACAGAGGGTTTTAAATGCCTCCATGAATAACGTGCATGTTAATGTAGTAGAAAATCAAGTTCAATTAGAGACATTTAGGCCCTATTGAGAGTTAATGCAAAAGGTTAAAATCAAGAGTGCTCAAAATGGTTTCATCATAATATATAAGTAACGCTATATATCTAGTACTTTTTTTTCCAAGAGACTAATGTACAAATGTAGTAAGACAGATTGTTTGTGAAGCAGGTGACAGTACATCAGTTAGTTGCTGCATGTTGTTTGCCACATTCTTGTATCTTAAGAATTGTCTATCTGAGGATAGCTGTGCTTGGTGATTTCTCTTCAAGAATTTTGCAGAGACCGTACTCTGTGCTGGTATGTATAGAACAACACAGCGCTGCACCTTGTCACTATGACAGCGAATTAAGGATGTTTCAAATCAAGGTTTCAACTTGGAGATGACTACAAAGGGAAATGTATTTTTCTTCCCTTATCAGCCCCTCACTTTCATAGGTAGGACTGTGAACACATGCAGGAGCAAAAAGCATGTCTCCTGCACAATCCAAGTGTTGTTGTGGTTCATTAACCCTCTGTCTGCCACTCTTTCAAGAGTGGTTGCATTTGTCAAACTTTGTGATAACCGGATTTCATGCACAAATGGAAAAATTCAGATTACGTAAACTTTTGTGCTGTTTAGAACATGAGTACATTGCTAAAACTCTTGTAAATGCTGTGGTATACTTGAGTAAAGCCCAGGACTCTAAGCTCTTGTGGATTCAAACTGAGACTACTATCCATAGAGAATGTGCACATTGAGACTTATTTTCCACCTGCCGGGGCTGCTGGATGGGTGACACTTACTTAATCATAAAAGCATTCATCTTTTCATACTGCACAGTTTCTTAGTAGTTAGTTGTTTTGTTAGCTTCAGAAAGAGTTACTAAGGGATACATGTACTTTGTATGTTCTCTTCTACTGTACGTAATAGTTTCACAATGACTTGAGAATAAGGTACTTTTTCTGTAATAACGATTGTAAAGAAAGCCTCAGTAGCCACTGAGATACCAGTCTGCTTTGGTTCAACATTTGCTTTGTAGCAAAAAGGAAGAGAAAGAGTCCGTATCCATAAATTACACAAGTGACATTGCTATTGCCCAAATATTTTGCTCAATGTTCCTCAGATTTGATGGTATTAGGCAAGCTGCACAGCAACCTTGGATAATATAGAGCTTTAAAAGCGCACTATGCATTGTAATCAGAAAATGAAATTCACTTTGTTGTCTGATCTTGCTGGCATTAATTATCAAAATATACTCATTGCAAAGGTACAATTTTGACATTACTGGAAGCAAGTATAATTTTCTGCAGAAGGTCAAAAGGTTTCTCTCGTAATGGGATAAGGATTTTATTCAAAACATTAATGCTCAATGAATTTCTGTCCATTATATGAGTGAGTCATACTCTAGAACTGTACATGAGCAATATAACCAGCAACTAAAGCCCACAAAAAAAGTCAGGAAACTTTTCTGCTGTGCATTGACTCCACTTGTTTATTCAATTAGCGGTCCAGTCTGCTGCTGAACAAGTACCTCCGAAATGAAATGGAATACCCAAAGCCATGAGTGTTTGCATATTCTTATCTATTTGCCCCAAGAGTAACAAATTACTATTTTTAGAAAATTATAATCTAATAGAGCTTCCATATGTGTTTTGAAATAATTTCCATAGGTGTCTGATGTTGTCCATTTAGTCATCTTCAGCGTATTTTAATATTACTGCTACTTTTTCTGACAGTTTTTCGAGGTCTGTTTGTCTTGCATTCCTTCGTGAATGTCATGCCTAAGGCAAGGCCAAATGTATAAGATACTTTCAGAACTAAAGAGCAACAATTTAATTTCACTAGTGTCCACTCTCCAGCTCTTGTGCTTAAACCATGAGTTACAAGGGTTGCTGTCAGGGTGGCCGCGTTTCCCTTTTGTGCCAAAGCTGCTGGTGGAGATGCATGCTCGGGCAGCTGGGAATGCGTTTTTACAATGTGACTGTTTTGGGATTATGAACTGAACTGAGATCACTACCTATGTTGATAGCGATCTTTCAGACAGCCCTAATACCCTATTTTGAGACTCTGCTTCTTGACTGAGACACGAATCAGAAACTTAGAGTTTAAAAGATTTGTCACTTGTCAATACATCCTGAACTAATTCTTTCATACCCATTAAATTGTAAAAGACCTGAACATTGCTAACTTTCTAAGGGAAAATTTGTAAAATTTACTTTTACCTTGTTTTCATAGAAGCGGGGGGGTAGGTGGGGGTAGAGGAGAAGCCACTACATCTTAGTCTGCTAAGACCTGAGATGTATTTATACAATCTTCATGTCTTCTAGGTCCCTCCCCCAAATCCCAACTCAAAGCCCTTTTGTCCCTCCTATTTCACCGCTGGAGTTACAACTCTGAATCCTGGAAGTATCTTACGCCATTCTGTCAGTGCTTCTCATAGACATACTCTGTGACATACTCAAAACTGATAACTGTTTCTTTCTTCTGCATGAAAATGACTTTCAAAATAATGAATTTGTATTTTGAAATCTGTTCTGACAAGTAATTGGGTGGTGGGCAATACTTGCTAATACTTGAATATTTTTTCCTACTTGCAAATGGTGTCAAACATTATACACCAGCAAATGGCTCAGTGGGGAATAATAAGCTCTTCATGGCAAATATGGCTTATCCGTCACAGAATTTAAGTAGTAAATTTGTGTTTTGATATTTGTGGAGATATACACTTTCTATTGAGGAATTACTAAATGGCATAAGAAATGATATTCTGCCTTTGTCATTGCTCATAGTTTCACAAAGCAGCACAAATGGGAATAAAAAAAGTCTTTGATCAGTTTTATCGCTGCTGTTAAAATCATAAGGAAGCAAGTAAAGTAGATTTTGGCAGTTGAAAATAACCTAACTGGCAACATTTCAGTTATTTCCATATATGTTGGTTTTATATGTACCTCTCTCTGTGACTCTATCAGTATGCCTTATCCATTGTATTTGCTTTTAAAAGTATCATTTCAGAGTGAAAGTGTCTGAGAAGAATTCACAACGGGATTAAAATACCCATACTTATTAAATGTATACCCCAATGCATCTAGAACAGTTCAGAGACACATTGATAGAGAATTTCTCATTCATTTGGGGACTGTCTTCCTTTGTCTGAAGTCAGTGGGGAAAAAGTCATATTGATTACAAGAGGTTCACAGTTATTTGTGTGTCACGTACATTTCTTAATGGCATAACCTGAAAAAAACCCTATCTTCTCTGAATTGATTGTGTAAATACTCTTTGATTTGATTCAAATCTTTGATTTGAATCTACTTTCAAGATCATAGTCCTCCAAATCCTGAAATAGCAGCAGCATTCACATATTCTTCTGTTTCTTTAGGCATTAATAAATTAGTACCAATAATTTGGCAATGCTAATCATAAATGGCTCTAATATGAAGTGCTTTATTTGCTAAATCATTGGTACCAGCCCTATTCACAAGTCATAGCACAGAAGGAGGAGATGCTGCTCAGGATTCTAATAAACATCAATTAAAAGTAGCAAGTTTAATGTCATATCTTCTTTGAATGTCAGTCCAAGACAAGAGTTGTGCTAAATTTGACAAATATATTAAATATACAGGCCATTTCAGAGCTTTGGATGTTTTTTTTACACAGAAAGGAACAAACATAATAAGGAACACTATATAAACTTAATTACAACAGTTCAGTTCTTTTTTAGGTATGATATAGTAATAATTGGGTGATTTGTTAACTGAAGTCTGATTCTTTAATGATTTACCAAAAATTATCTGAATTACTCAAGGTTAGCAATAAATTGCAGAGAAAAATTCAATTATATATAGCAAATAATAATTATTATAGTAATTTCAGAATTTATTTCAGAGTCTTAACCAATCAAACACAATGCGGAAGTGTATTTTAACTGTAAAAAGTTGATTCTTCTTGAGAATCAAGAATTCTTCTTGGGAATTCGTTCTTGGGAACGCCCCACCCCCAAAGGATGTTGTGTGGTATGGTTGAAGAAATTTTTAAAATGTAGAACAGGCATTGACAGACTCACCCGGTTGATTTTAATTAAAACAAATACAATTAGAAGTGGGAAGGTAAAGTTCAAATTCTTTGAACTTGAGTTGACCGAACAATGCTTCCT